TAGTACTAGTAGCAGCAGCAGTTGCAGCAGTAGTAGTAGTAGTAGTAGTAGTAGTAGTAGCAGTAGCAGTAGTAGTAGGAGTAGTAGTAGTAGTAGTAGTAGCAGCAGTAGTAGTAGCAGCAGCAGTAGTAGCAGCTGCATTGGTCATGGTAGAAGTAGTACAGGTATGGCAGGAAGGAAGGCAGTCAGGCAGGTGGGTCGGTAGGTTGGTAGGTCACAGGTGGGTAGGTAGCAGGTAGTAGATAGCAGGTAATAGGTGGTGGTACTAGGTAGTGGCTGGTAGGCAGCAGGTAGTAGTTCGGAGCCAGTAGGTAGCTGTTGGTAGAAGTAGTAGGAGGTGGAGCAGTGCTATAATGTTTAGTAGAACGAGAGGAAAAACAGCAGTGGCTATAACAACAACAGCAGCAGCAACAACAGCCACCGCAGCAACCACAGCAACCACAACAACCACGACAACCACGACAACCACAACAGCCCCAACCCCTGCTACAGCCCCAGCCGCAACCGCAACCGCAAGAAAAAGCGCGACCACTACCTCAGCGACAGCGACAGCCACAGGCCACAACGACAGCGACAGCAGCAGCAACAGCAGCGGATGTAGGCAACAGAATTCCTTGCGCACGGAGAGGCAGCTCGATTCGCGAAAATTTCGCCGGCCGGTTCACATGATGCCCTGTCTAGTTCTCCTGCTGCATGAATCGAAGCTCAACCCGCCAGAACTGCTAGGAAGGCGTCGGCTTCGGCACGGACGTATCCAGCCGCGGTGCAATGCTCAGTCTCAACATCTAGGGTCAGGGCGGGGAGGTACGCGGAATCGTCTTGAATCGCACCTCGGCGATCGGGTGTTTTGAGATGATTGCTTGAGGAATCGCCGAATCATAGACATGGCAAGAAGGCGAAGAAGAAGCCTGAAGTGAAGCGTGTTGCAAGATGTTGCAAGACACGCATCATGTTGCAGAAGCTGTCGGTAGAAGGATTGAGCGGTAGACCCCTTGTAGTCCAACCTATAATACCCCTTTCAAGTGTGCCCCCTTTCTCGCACCCATACCCCTTATGATACTTCTTACAGGAGCTCTTAGAGTACCTTGTAGTATCCCTTAAAGGCCTCCCGTGTCAAAGTACCACAATGTTGTAGTACCCAGTTTGGTACCCCGAATAGTATACTCCCTTATCGTACCACTTCGGTAGCCGGTAACCCGCATGGTACCAGTACCTCCTAAAGTAAACCTTTTGGTACCCCTCAGAATACCCCTTACGTACCCCGTGTGGTTCTCTGGTGGTACATACAGCCATACAGCACCCCTTGCCAGTACCCATTCTAAATACCGAGTACCCTTTGTAGTAACACCTCATAGAGTACCCCTTGCACCCTACGTCTGATGGCAAACCTTCTAGTACCACTTCTAGCAACCCCCTTACAGTACCCCCTTGTGGCACCCCTTATAGCACTTTCTAGTAACCTTTGTAGTACCCTTAAACATATCAGAGCCTAGCCAAGAGCTCCCTGGCTTTCAGGAAGCTTCGTCGAAAGGCCCAGCTTCGACCTGGTGCCGCATCCATATTCAGACATGGCCAAGAGAGTCTCATGAGTTATTAATGTCATCATTGCTAGTACTTTTGTTGGTGGCATTGGAATTGGTGTTAGTCTCCGCATTGGTATTAGTATTCGTATTGGTAGTCGTAGTAGTTCTGGTGCTAGTATCAGTCCATGTATTATTCCATCAGTCGTGCAAGCATTGCTGGGACTGCCCGGGCAGGCCATCGGTCCATAACGTAGATGCTGTAGACGACGTCAGCTGAAAGTCGCACTTTCCGCACTCTCACCGGTCCATCCAGGTGATCGGCGTCGCAATAATGGTTAATGCAATCGTTTTGGGACTGGAGATCGACCTTTCGGAGCAACACGGCCGCAGCCACCGAAGGGTGTCAACATGTCTAATTGCAAGGTTTCGGTCATCTTTCCCGGAATGTGCCTAAGGATCTTCAAGAATTCTCTGTGTCTTACTGGTTGCGCTTTTTTGGTTTCCCCTGCGCCGTCTCAAGGAGAACAGACCCCATGGTTTGGATCGTGGCGGAGTGCCTCAGCTGCATTCAGCACGCAGCAGCTTCAAACAACTTCGAATGTTTCTAACTCTGCCACTAACCCAGTGCAAAGATGTGCAAAGTAGCATGACCTTTTGTGGATGTTTGTGAGTAGGTCCATGGATGCCTGAATGTGAGGAACATTTTCTGCTCTATTTGGATAGCAGAGACCCTGATAAAGTGGTGGTATTTACGATGGTCTTATTTCTGCGATGCGTGGAACTGGCTCGCACCATGGCCGCACCGACCGCGAGCTTCACAGGATGTCTTCCTCGGTAGTCTGATGTTCGAAATCTCCCAGAGCTGCCGACTCAGGATCTCTTCTTGGTAATGCTTTCTATCTACGATGCTTGGATAGCCCCGCTCGCCTTGTCAAGTGACTCGGCCAAGCCTCAAGACCAGGACGTTCATGGCCAAAAATACAGGTCATTGATCTCCATCCTCATCGTGTGTGTTTCAGGGTCTCATCTCGTTTGCTAAGGTGAGACGCGGATGGATCTCGGATTTCTGCGTGTCGTCCGGGTCATGCGCCTTCTTCGTTTAGTGCGCCTTTGCAAGAGGTTGGCTGGTTTGCCTACCAGAACGTTTCTTTCAAGCTATGCAATGTTTGGGGCAGATATCACTGAAGGATGCCTTGGTATCCTCAGTTAGTGTCGAGAATTTGTCTTGCAGTATTCGGATCAGAGCCCTGAATCCATCTTTGGTTTGCACACTGATTAGTGGAGCCGAGGAAGCTGATCCGAGCAGCCAGGTTGCAAGCAGCTAGATCCGTCACGCTCCATCGAAGAACGCGTATCGACCAGCACGCCACGAGCACAGCGAGTGATTGCGGTGATTGTGACACGGGGGGCCATAACGATGCTGTAGTAATTTACCGGCAAACTGCGCCACCGAAACTCACTGCAGGTATGTAGGCTGTTTGCAACGAATCTAGCAAATCAGTTTGCGCTAGTCTTCAATGGAATCCTGCCCTCAAGGTGATCAAGATGTCGCGGAATCTTTGGCTTCTAGTGCAGGGCTTCACCGACACCTGGCAAGCTTCCAGGGATACCGTCATGAGACGGCAATCTGATCTGCACAGCACAGAGATTAATGTGATGTATTTTTGATTGCTTGCTTGTCATAGTCGGCTCTGGCCATGCCAGGAATCCTTTAGCACGCTGAGCTGGGTTTCATTTCTCATCTTCTTTGTGATATATGCTGCTTGGCTATGACAAGTCGGCAGAATACGGGCATGCGGCGGTCAACTGACGGCAAGGACTGTTGCTTTTCGGTTTTATGC